TGCACATACCCTAGAGCAAGCTTGAAAAAAAGACAAAAGCTGAGCATGAATAATAAAGAAAATACAGCCCTTGATTAAAAAAAAAAAAAAAAAAAAAAAAAAAAAAAAAAAAAAAAAAAAAAAAAAAAAAAAAAAAAAAAAAAAAAAAAAAAAAAAAAAAAAAGGCCTGTTTTGTCTGAAGAAGAAAACAGTGAAGGAAATATGGGACAACTTCATGGCTGTAAAAGCTGAAAAATCTGAGGTGCCACAAGAAAAGGAGAGGAATTTTCTTCTACAGAAGGAGGGCTTAAACTGAAGCAGGACTGCTCCGGCTTGGATGTTAGGGATTGCCAAGGAAGGTGTGGAATCACTCATGTTGCAGATTTACAAAAGCCTTAGACAAGGACACTCAAGTTTAGGCATAGCTTATTCTTTGCTCAGGAAAGTCCATTGAAGGCCTGTTTCCTCAGATTTTGAATTCTATGTGGAAGCAGATGAACAAATTTCTCCAACTCTACTTTGTTTATAAAATTCGTTAAAATACATATATAACTTTTGTCTAAGGCAGGTCAAACAACATGTCTCCATGTTTGACTGTCACTAACTTTGCAAAGATCTGGAGTACAATTTAAATATAAGACTTACAGAAACTTTTACTATATTTATTCCCAGAGTTCATCTGTGACTCTTTACATTCCTTATTTAGTCATCCATAAATCTATCAGATTTTTAACCTTCAAAATCAAATGAAGTCTGGAAGTAAGTAAATACAGAGAAGACACTGAAGTCTGAAATAAGTACAGAGGTTCAAAATAACAGTGTGAAGGGAATTTTTGTTGGGATGACACTGTTTTCATATGTGCATGCATGTCTTTGTGTTTGCATATGTGTATGTGTGTATAAATACACATTTGTGCATGCAAAAAATGTCCAGATGGGAAAAATAACAAGCTATTGAATAAAATTATGCTTTATATAAATCATGTAGTGAAGGATTAAAAATACTACCACTTCTTGAATAATCAAAAAATTGGTCTATATACGTATACATATAATCTACGTTTGCTGTCTAAGACTGTTGTCAACAACATCAGCAATCATTTATCAGGAATGCTTATGGCTAAAAGGTTTAACATTACTGTAGGGTATGTTGAAGGCAAATTCGAGTGGCCTATTGACACAAGGTTACCTACACTAAGAACTGAAAGATCAGGAGCTTTACAACCCTGGTTGTAATTGCGTTGGCCTATCTGAATCGTCATAACTGGTTTCTTTACAGGTACTGGGAAACTTAGGTTAGCTCTCACTCTCAGAAAGGATCTGAGATGCTAAAAGAACATGGTGCTGTTCCTTTGACATTTGTTTATGAAATCATCACCTATACTAGAAGAGAACAATTTAAACAACCAACAAAAGAGACTTGGTTTAGGAGTGGAACAAGACCACCATTTTTCCATGAATGGAAAAATTGAGAAATAAGAGGTACTAAAGGATGTATTGTTGAGAGTGGTAAAGGAAGACAGACTACAATTAACGAAGATGGAATATGTCCAAGACGGAGGCCCAGCAAACTCAAGTGGTCACAGACACCACTCCACTCTCACAGGAGCCCCACCCAAGGCAAGTCTTTGTCAGGGTCAAATGACCATCTTATTTTCCTGTAGCAGTTGATGTCTCTCAGTCTAACCACTGATTCAGACCCATGCTGCTTTAGACAAGAGATCTGGTGAGATTGGAAGGTTATTGCTGCAAGCCATTTTTAAATGCTTATCAGGAAAATGCAAAATGACTAAATGCATATAGCTTGGGGGGAGTAGGACTATTAATAGAGGCTCTGCCAACTGATAACAGACATACGGAGACTCTAAAACAAGCAGACAGAAGAATTGTTCTGAAGCAAAAGGAGAACATTTCTGAGAATGAGGGAGGGAATCAACCACAACAACTTAAAATAAATCCTAGGAATACCTGTCTCAACAACCAGATCTAAAATTTGCAAAGGAACCAGGCCTTTGCTTAAACAATTTAAGTAAGATGAACTGGCCATATGCTTCAAGGTACTAACATATGATGGTTACTAAGAAGGGAATAAATGACCAACAGATATTCTCCATCCCCTGATACCCCATTCTCTACAAAATGATTTTCATACTTGAAGTCAATATGGTGAGGTCACGCCACGCTCTCCAGTTGGCTATTGATCTTGATAAATATGTTTGTGCTGCACACTGACTACTGCAGAGTAGCTACTGAAAGGACACCTAGTGGAAGTAAATGAGTGTATCTAAAAACTGCTCTGACTGTTGAAGGTGTGTAATCATAATTGCTGAACTATTACAGGTTGAATCTGCAACGTAACATATGAACTTACGTGTCAAATAGCACTACTCAAATTTTCTAAAAATCGACAAACAGTATTCTTAAAAGCACATTTTAAAAACTTGGAATTTACACTTAACTTCCTCAAAACTCAGAGAACAGTTTTTTAAACAAAAGATGCACAGTACTGTGTGTCACAGAAGATTGCACATTTCAATTGTCCTGAATCTCCACTGCATCCATTTTAGGAATATCAGATAGCCAAAAAGAACTCACTACAGACATGTTTTGCTTGATATTCAAGTCAAATTTCATCGTGGGCATCATCATTCCTTGGGTCCTCCATTGTGCCACTCTAAAATATCTTAAGCAATTCCTTCCCTTCTTGTCTTTCTCTCCTAGGAATAGAGAAACAGCCAAAGAATATAAATTGTACACATTTGAGCTAATTTTACTCTTCTTTTTCTTTGTTCATCCAACTTTACAGTCTTGCTTGTGTTTATCCCAAACCCCTTAATATGTACTAATGCCCTTGTGACCAGGAGATGCCCACATCAGAAAGCTCTATTCCAAATGGAGTCATGCTGGTCTCATGCAGAGAGGGATTATAACCTTCCTGTGTAGTGACATGCTGCCTCTGGGCAAACAGACTAAAATCCACGCTTGGTTTTCTTGTTTATGTCAACATATCATATTACAGGCATGGAACAATTTGCTGACCACTGTCCCCCTTCGATTATTGTTTTTATGTTCTCTTTTCTAGGTTTCTCATTTCTATTGAATACCAGTTTCTTCGTATTAATTTTCCCTGAGTGAATTAGTGCAGATTTACTAGGCTTTTTTTCCAGAAATTTTTTTTTATCCAATTTTATAACATCTCTGTATGCCACTGGTCTGTTCTCTGTCCTCTGTTTATGACAGCTCCCAAAGTGCCATCCTTTGATTTAAAAAGCCACAAACAAACTATTTTGGCTCTTCTATCCTCTTTCACCACAACAAAGATTGAAACACTGGGATGGATATTTTTTGTTTGCTTTTTTAGGTGACTTCCTACCAAAGTTTTTGCTTAAAAAACACAGATTTTGCCGCAGTTCTCCACAACTACAAGGAAGATCGTGATGCCTATGAAGGATGCGGCAGCTTCTGCCCTTATCCGAACATTAGCAACCCTTCCTCGCACAGCTCTGTTTCCACAGCTCACCTCTTCTCCACTTCACCCGTCTGAAGATCCAGCCTGCTCTCATCTTAAAATGGCATGTAGTTTCCTTCCTTTACTATAAACAATGCTAACTGTAACCTTAGTTTCGTGATGTAAACATTTAAAAATAAGAATGAAGGGAACACAAACGATGTGTTCAATTAGTTAATTTGGGGATTAAATTAAATGAAATCTCGCAAAACATGGAACACGGAACATTTCAGCATAATGAAGTCTGGCTTTACTTGTTTTCCTTTTATCTCATCTCTTTAAAAAAAGGAAACTGTCCATCTGAGAAACTGTGGAAGAAGAGTAGTAAAGGCAGATGAATTGCTTGTGAATCCGAGAGAAATGAAAGTAAAGCTCAGAGGAAGGTACCATAACACTCAGGTATGTGCTCAAAGGGAAAGAGAGGCACTCTAATCTGCAGGATGCTGGAGGCTGGGCAACCAGCTGCCACAGTTGACATGAGAGGCTCCTGCTATCAATGTCAAATCCGGCGATGATGTCAGCTTGTAAAATACCCTGTAGCCTGCCAAAGTCTCTTCAACCTGGCATTTCTTTTATAATAAAATATATTTTAAAAGCAAGAAACCAACTAATAGATATTATTCTCCAGTCAAAGCCAAAAAATATATATACACTGTGCATAATAAAGAATAGTAATAGGAAGACGTAGCAAGGGGTAATAAAGGAAAAATAACGTCCACAGAAAAAAGACCTCTGTTTATCTTTGCAGTCTACTATAAATTTTGGTCAACTATACTCCTTCAAATGGACATATTTTTCTGTTTTAAAAAACAATTCTAGAGAATATTTTCATGGTTAAATGAATCTAGATTTTGCTCTTGTGAACTCTTCAGCAACAGAAGAAACTCAAACTGTCTTCAAATTTGGAAGAATTCTTTTTATGTGCATCTGAAAATGCACATTTGGCTTTCATTGTGTTGTGTGCAAGACACCTACAAAACCAAAGTGTAGCCTCGCACAGCTTCAATCAACACTTTAAACTTTGAACCTTCCTTATCCTAAAAGATGGTGAGCATTTTCACTTTTCAAGCAAACCCATTTCCTTCTGGCATACAACAAACATAAGCAATACAGGAGTTGCTTGACTTTCACATCATACTTAAACAGGCATTTTGAAAATGCATCATTGACAGCTTCAAATAGGGAGTTCAAAGTATCTACAGGTATTACATCTGTCCCAAGCTTCTTAGCCAATTTAGTGATTTTCAAGTGGCTTTTTCCCATTTCCTAAAGCCTACCGAGAAAAGATGGGTGTTTTCCCATGATTTAATGAAAAACACACAAACGCCATAGGAAAAAATGCACAAAACTTCCAACGCAACATCTCATGCACAAAGTAAATTCAACAACAGATTTTTTTTCCATGTCTTTATCACTATAATACTACTTATCACTTTTACTCAGGTTTAGTACAAAGCAACAATAAAATAGAGAGGCACTTTTAATGGGATGTTGATATCTTAAGGAAACCTACCTTGAAAGAAACTTTTGACTCGGAGATAGCTGACACTTAGGCGCAAGACGGAAAGTTTGTCCAGCTTTGATACAATGTCAGGTGGAAAAGGCAGGAGGCTGGCCAGATGGTCCAGTTCCGCGTTCAGACGGTCCCTGTGTCTCTTCGAAGGATTCGATTTTTCATTCCCGACTGCAGGCCTTCTGTGGTGGAGAACACATTTTCGATTACCTGTTTTACTTCCAGGCAGTACAATCAGAGACTGAGATGTTGTATGCAATTAGTTGATAACAGGAATACTTCACTTAGCTTTTATGGAAATCTTTTAAAGTTTCTGTCTCCTGCCAAAAAGAGATTTACTATTCTGCAATTGCCATTCTCACATTTACCTTCCTACATCAGATATAACAAAGATAAGAATTTGGTTTATGTCTTAAGAACATTGATATTCTTTGCAAAAGACATGGACATTGGCTTCTCTTTTCCCATTTGCCCAGTGAAAAACAAATGCTATCTCTTGCTCAGGACCCTCTCACCTTAGGGGAGTGGGTACTATCTTCCTGTTCTAGTCAATACCAGGAAAAACAATTTCTCTTCTATGTTGTACAAATAAGGGGCTGACCAGCAGGGGAAAATTATCGTGACTAATGCATGAACCCATTTAATACCTACTGTATTCATCCAAAGCATCTTAGTTCCTTCCATTTAATGACTCAAAGTTAACCTGTGGGTCAGGAGATAACTAAGAAAAGAGCCTGTCTTTAGACATGATTTTAAAAAGTATGGGAGGCAAGGTAAAGAGCCGTTCTTTCCTCAAGCTCAAAAATCCTGTGTACATTCTCACACTTACCTTCCTACATCAGAAATAACAAAGATAAGAATTTGAATTCTTATCTCTTAAGAACAGTGATATTCCTTGCGAAACATAAAGATTTATGTTATTCAGTTTCCTAGGCCAAGCGCTCCTAGTCCATCCCCATTTTGTGTTCCTCCCATTCAATGTACAGTGCTAGATAACTTAGAAAAGCTGTTGTGAAAACTCATTAAGATGAAATTCATCACAAATGAGGAACCTCAATTTTGGAGTGTCCACTGATGTTCTCACAGAACACATAAAATATTATTCTCAAGAGGAAGAAAAGGAAAAGCTGGTCTACTTGGAATCAGAAATGGGAACATTATTTCCAGCATGACAGTGAGAGGTGCTCAGTGCTGAAGCACAGACATATACTAAACAAGAAGACCTGAGTGAAAGTTTGGGAGGGTGGTTCCTTTCAGCTGGACCCAGCAGCAGCCAAATGCCACAGAACACTGGAGCTCTAAGGTACACTGATCCATGATCTCAGAAGGAGTGCAGCAGCCCAGTGCTCTAGGTGACCTGGCATCTCCCAGGAACTTTGTGCTCTGTCAGCTGAATCTCCACTCTGGTAATGCCCATGTTCAAGTTCTTACTGTAGCACACTGATATGTTCCTCCTGAGGCACCTTCTCCTAAATAAGAGATGTTGATACAAAAATCAAGGAGGGAAGGATGGAAAAATACTTAAGCATTGGAAACGGTAGGCAAGAAAAATATGGCTGTGCTAATAGTTTCCACTTCCACCTCACTAAAGCCAAGGATCATAATGTTATGTAGCTAGCTGGCACTCCAGTGGAGTATGAGAGTAAAACTAATTATTTGCTGCACTTTACTACTGCGTTTCCATGCTTCACACATTTACTGCATTCTTTAATCATAGTTTTCATTTTGAGCATTAGTATTCACAAAGTGGCTAATGTTTTAAATTACAAAAGTATTAATTTATCATAACCAAGATTCTAAAAAAATGTTCATATTAGTAAATCACGTAATTAGTAAAACAAAAATCAATGTTTTGTATGTGTGATTGCTGCTAATTGAAAACCTCTTAAAGTAAATTAGTCATGAAAAATTCATTACTACTTTTGAGAGTCTCACTTCATTTTAAGAGCACAACACCAATGGACAGAGTAAATGAAAAAAAAATATTTGAGGTATGTGTCAGTGAATATGTAGCTAATTTCTGGTTTTTCATTCAAAATTGCTAATACTGAAATGTGGCTCTTCAATAACTTTATGAGTTGCTCTCAAAGACATGGAGAAGACTTCGTTGATTTGGATCAATGAACAACTTCACAACTAGAGAGCAAATATGCAACAAATAAAGTAAGCAACAAAGACTGAATACTTTTTTTTACTTTTTCGGAGCTAACCATTTTTTCATTATACCCTGAAGCTCAGCCATCCTATGACACCAGAATGATGTCTGACCTGGGAGAGCAGTAATACTGTGGGAGTATAGCCTACAGCTGAGCAAAAGCTAAAGAACATAAGTTTTTGCTAATTGGCCTTTACATCTGACAAACCAGCTGAAGCAAGGAAGCAATTTAGGACAGAAAAAAAAATAATTTTAATAAGGAAAATTAAACTGATGAGTTTTAAAGGTAAAAATTTTCAAGAGTAATATGGGATAGAAATAGAAATTGTTCAAGCCTATTTACCACATAAAATAGTGACTGCTTTATGCCAGAGAGGAATGGTTTGAGACAATTAGGTGGGCTGCCTTTGTACTGCCTGAAAGAAATAGTTTTCTGGAGACTGCAGGGAATGGTACAAAAAGACCACGGGAGAAAGTTCAGGACAAAACTTTCCTGAAAACTCAAGGAAATGATTCAGTAAGGGAGTGAATCCAAACAAACAGGGGGTTGATGTAAATGGTAATTAGGTTCCAAGTGGATGCAATTTAAAACAATGCAAGTGAGTTCCATGGAAAGGCTAGCTTAGCTTAGCTACCCGTAAACAGAAAGGGGCAGGCAGGGAAATTTTTCAGTGGGCTGCTTTGAGGTAAATGGAAATTCTGGCCTTTATTTTGGGCTGAAAGTAGATGGTGCATGTGTTTGTGTTAAACTCGGGATTGTAAAACTGTAAACAGAGAGGTAGCACTCACTCCGATACCACATTTACTCTGCTTTCCATACAACACTAGTGCAGTAGAGTAGCACATGTAATTAAAACAACAAAGCTGGTTTTCCCTTCTTTGCATTGTTAAACTGCCCAAATTCTGCTCTGCAGTAACAAGTACTTGTACCTGCACAGAACACGCATTACCAGTCCCCGTGTGGTGGGAGCTGAGCGTGGCAGCTGGTGCAGAGGACATTTTCTGTTTCGGTGGTACACAAGGCATTGAGCCATTTGCGCATTAATGATTCAGTGTGCCCATGACACACAGACCGCCTCTAGTGTAAACCAGTTTGGTGAGCTCGCAGAGGAATTTCCTGCAACTGCAGCTCTGTCTGCTGTTCCCTACCCTCTGCGGGAGCCCTACCCTGTTAACGAAAAGTTCGCTCTGAGTAAGTTTTTTAAGTATGTCAAAGCGTTAAACCTGCAGATGATCTGAACTGAGAAAAATCTAACCATTTATTGTGACAGCATAGTTTTAGTAGGAAGGGAAAGGGAAGAGAGAGAGTAGGAGATGCAACAGATTGACTAAATGCAAAGTAAAAGCAAGATGGTGATCATGAACATACTGACCAGCACCCACAGCCACTTAGCTGTGCTTGGACATTGCACAGAAATCCTGGCAGTGAAAGCTGTGTATGTGCATGTGGTCGTCATCTCCTACAACCAAAAGGACTTGAATGAGAGAAAGCTGTTTGAGGGAAAGGGGGTCCTTTGCCACCTTCAGTCTCTTCTGCTTCTTCACAGCAAGGAAAGGCAAAAGCAGAACTAATGGTCAAGAAGATGCCACACTGGCAGAGTAGATGAGAGGTGGGATAGTGTGATATCAAGTAAGAGGAAGGGCTATGCCACAGAGGGCCTTAAAATGAGAATTAGGAAGCTGGAGAGAGCTGCACCTCCCAAGGTGTCTGTTTACCCTGTCACAAGTACGGTTCTGATTGAAGTGGGCAGTATGGACTCTATAGATAAACTCAGAGCTTGGGCAGCTGTACCTTGTCTTTAAAGAGCCATTAAATATTACAAGAAAGGTTTTGTGAAGGGAAAGGGTTTTACAAGATGCCAGGGCTTGAGATGAAGAAGTTCTCAAATGGTAACTGTCCTGAAGCATTGCCTTAGCATTTCTAAGTATTCATTTCAGCACAGTGATTTTAGCTTGAGGTTAAAAAACAAGATCTCTTTAATTTCCAGATACTTGAATTACCAGTAAAACGTTAGATTTCCACAGGAAATAAACACTTGGTAGAGAATGTTTCCTTTAGTCAAAATGCCGGCTGTCTGGCTGAAAAGCATATCTCATGGAAAATTTTTCAATCAGTCTGAGCTCCAGGTGTTTGAACTGTGTCCCTAAAAGCCAAAATTTCTTAGTGTAGACCACATCTAATGGGGCTCATTTGGAAGTGTTCTGGGGCAAACCAGTAGGTGTTTTAAAATTTATTTGCATGTGTAAAAGTAGAACTTGAATCTGAGGTATCGTCTCAAAAATGGCAGCCTAAAGAAGATAGTTCTGCTAGTTTTGTCTAAAGAGAAACATATTAGTTCCTCCTAGTAAAACAAATTTTCCACACATTCTTCCACAGTCTTGTGGCTCTCTGCATTTTCTTGTGGAGCTTCGTCATACATTTTCATCACTGTTCTGTAAAACTACTTCAGAATAGAATTTCTGTGCCTGACAAATATTAATGAACATAATGAAAAATACTGTTCTGTGATATCATGGATTAAAAACCAGCTGCAGGATCAGCACCTAGACTGATCACAAAAAGCTGATACAGAGTCAGAGAGTCAGCCTCCTGGGATGAACTGAGTATGGGTAAATATAAACATCCCAGTTGTTCTGCAGAAGGGAAAGCTGCACCTCACATCTTCTAAATCCTGATCTTTGAAAGGACTAATCCATGAATCCCTACTGAAATCCAACTATCCTGCTCACACTGAGGCATCTGAGCTCACTTATTCTTTTGTCAAGAGAAAGTTAAATTCTAGAGATTATTCACATTTAAAAGAGAGGAATCATCACTAGAACTGGCCAAAGAATATCCATCCATTTTTGTTCCTGTGAAAAATTAGATTTTACAACTGAACAATACTCATCCCAAAACAGGTGGCAATATCTACTTTGATTCATTATTAGAATGACAGGTGGAAAGTAGAACAAGGCTGTGGAGAATGTGCTATGCTATGAAATCAAACAGGAGAAAAAAGCTCTAACAAAGATTGTATGACATGGGTCAAAATCATGCTTAAATATGCTGCTCAATTAGTAGGCTTCAGATACCCTTCTAAACTCAAGATAAATTATTCAAGGTAGCGTAACAGTAAGGATATCCTGGAGTCTCCAGATGTCATTAAAACTAGTAGGACTGAAGGACACAGACTGTGAAAGGAGTTCTATCTAGTTGGTCTGGGGCATTCAGAGCCTCTTTAGATGAGAGTAAATCCCTGAGTGAGGGAATAAGCACAGGAAAGGCTTACCAGTGACTAAGCCCACAAACAGATAAAGTTTGAGGAAGAGAGCAGTGTTGTTAGGAACTGAGAAATCATCCTCAGCAAGTGGTAACTAACCACAGAAAACAGACTGCTGTTTCCAGTGGGGGAGCTCAGTATTCTAATAATCCAAATATTTTCCTTTGTTTCAACCAAAACCATGTTACTTAATCAAAACTGTCTATGGTCTAGCTTGATAAGCTCATGCTCAGGTACCTGCATTGCAATGTCATTGCAAAGCTATTTTCAAAGTAGCATTACTTGCAGTGGTTCCCCAGACAGAAACTTGGTTATGTCAAAGTGAATGAGAATTTGCTTCTGAGTTTATTGAAGTCAGAACTTCAAAAAAGGCTAATGAGGTCATTTCCATCATTTGTTAGCAGGTAGTTTTCTTAGCCATTGCATTTATCTGGAAGTCATCTTTGAGAAAAGTTCTAGCTAGCATGTAAACTCTAAACATAAATCTTAATGTTTATCAAAGCAACTGAAACTTTCCTTCCTTACAAAAGTAAAGATCCATAAAGGATCATTTTCACAGAGGTGATTTCACGTACTGGACTGGTTCCACACCTCATGCAGTTGTTATAAAATTAAATAAATGCAGTTGTTATAAAATTAAATATCCACATCTATACTTTAAGAGTAGTGCAGAAATCTTACATACATTTTGGATTCAACACTCAGGATTTTTGCAGGAAGAACCATTTTCTTATGTCATTATCTTTGTCTATTGAAATTGTCACCTATGATATATTTTGCAATAAATGAAATATTTTTTTAAGTGGGAAGAAGAAGTGGTTCATGAGCAAATATTGCTCAAAATCCAAACAGTATCAACAGATGTCATTGAAACATTCAGAGAAACTCCCCTTTGACTGTAGACCAATATATACAATTTTAAGCCAAGTGGGTTATTTTTAGAAGTTCTGAACAACTGAAAATAGGGAAATCTATTTTAGTTACCTTCTCATCCTTAAATTGTCTGTGAAGGCCACCAGTGCCAGTTCATAATTTTAACACAGTAAAAATGTGTGTTTCATAATCATAGAATCAAATGTAACACAGAAGATGTGGGATGATTATATTAAAAGCTTCATTTCACAGACCAGTTTATGGCATCTGGAAATCATTTTACATTTGAGTGATAGCAACCTTTTTTCCCCTCCCATTTCAAGCATCTTATAGCAACGAATTCCCATTGCATTTTTTCTTCTTCTGTTTTGCCTTCACACGTGCAATTCCTCTCTCCCATTTTTTTCCTTGTGAAAGTGATCCCATAGTAAATAGTGGTTTGAAAATTATGTGTTCTTTAAGCAAAAAGTGAATCACCAGTCTGCCCTTTCAGTTGACTGAACTGACCCACTTTCTGGGCTCGCACATGTTGGACCTAGTGATGCCCCAAGCAAGGCTAAGCCAAGGAAAGGGGAAGGGGGGAGTGCAGTGCCAACACACCGGTGCCACTCGACACACAGCTTCTCAGAAAGCTCCTTGAACAGGCATCAGGGAGCACAGAAGCACAAAGGTGGCAGCCACCTCTCCAGCCCATTGCCCAGCTGACATTTAATTCATCAGTATCTTCCGCCTATGAAAAGGCACTCCCTCTGCACTCCTCACAGCAGTGTGTTCTGCAGTGCACTGCAGTACGGTGTCTGCAGTACACACCACAACCGACACTGGCCTCCTCTTGGCATACCCACAAGTGGGCGAGGATGGTTGGACCCATGCTTGGCATCCTTTTGGGTGACAGTCTTAACCATGAAGAGCCAGCCTCCCAAACAAGGTTTTCTCACTAGAGAGAAAGAGATTAGGTCTATCCTGCATCAGCACACCATGGCAGGAAGGAAACTCTTACTCTACCTCATTTCTAGCATGTATATTTGGAGGGAGATGCCCCCAATGAATATGATACTTAACTGTTTCTGAATGGGTTTCCTCCTTTTTCTCCCAGCATATAGGCATTCCCCTGGAGGAATCATTGTTCTGAAACTGAAAAACAAAAGAAATAGGTTTCTTAGTTTAGACGTTTCTGTGTTTCATAATGCTGGACAAAATTACTGGACCATGACAGTTCAACCAAGGAAGATGTTTGTTCCTTGAGTGTGACATTCAACAACACTAAGACGCATGGTGGCATTAGTTAAGATAGAAGCTTAAGGCTAATTCCAATTTCCTACCCTAATAATATTAGAATATTGATGTTTATTTTCAATTTTCATTTTTTCAAATTAAGCATACTACACATGATATAAAATGGGTATAAAATACATCCTGCTCACTGGATGTCCAAACTTTTTTTCCATTCCAGGCTCAGTTTTAAATTCAGCTAAACAAATAAGAATGAATAATACTACCCGCCATCTGCGGGGACAATTTCACAGCTTTTAAAATACACTGGGATTTTCTTTCCATTACTGGCATTGTAAGTAGTAGGATGCAATTATTCAAATCAGCATTTTTCCAGGTTCTCAGATCCTCACTTTTAAAGACTGGAAATATATCTGTCGGCAGCTCAAGATGTGACACGTTGTTTTGGTTAGCAGTAGGACCCAAGGCAGTGCTGATGGAGGTGACAATTTTCAGACAAAAGTTAGCCCTATTATTGATCTATTTGAGCATGCTAGACTTAGAGGCATTGCAAGCTCAGAAACAAGTCTTTGCATTCAGTCTGTTTTAATCTTCCAGAGATTAGCTGAATATTGAAGTCTCTTGTTTTTCCATCTGAAAGAATATTTTAGTCATGCTGAGTGCTGTTCAACAGTGGGTTCACTCTGCCGGAGAGGTTAGTGTATCTCAAGAGTGTAAGATGTAAAATTAAGGGAAACTTCTATGTCACTGAATCAATCCCATGCTGCTGAAGACAGATCTGTCATGTAATGCGAATCATAAACTTACTGAACTTGATTTAGAAACTGTTTAGAAGAGCCTTCTTTTTCACTGAAAGATAGTTTTCTGATAACTAGAAAGCTTTCGCCTTCCAGCTTAAATTTGTTCATGGTCATTTTATGCCCATTTGTTCTTCTGCCAACATTGTCTTTTAGTTTAAATAGCTCTTCCTCCTCCTTTGTGTTTACTCATTGGCATATTTTTAAATATCAGTCATATCTGCAGTCAGCCTTCATTTTTCTATTCTGGGACAACCCAAACTCTTTTATTTCCCTCTCATGTTACAAACTCCTTATTCTTCCTATCATCTTAGGAGTCTTTGTTTTCTCATTTCAGTCAATCTGTCTAAAACATGGATAAACAGAATCATGCACAGTATATTAAGTGAAATCTGAAAGTATTTCATACATGCATATACCTATATATATATATGTATATATATATATATATCTATCTCTCTATATATGTATATATATATATATATATATATATACAGAGTTATTGACAAATCATTTATTCTTTATGGGAATTATCTCACTTGATATTCGTGTGTCTATTTCCATTTCTAGGGCCATTATCAAATTCATGGCTCACAGTCATCCTGTTGTCATCTAATATACAGAGTCCATATTCATGTATAATTTCCAACAAATAAATGCATGGTTTATAGGGAAATGTGCTCAGGTGCCTAGCCATCCCAATCATACAACTAATCTCCAGTTTAGTTTTTGCTGTGTGAGAACTGCGTCCTCCTTTGTGTTGATGACACAGCTTTGAGATTGGCTCAGCTGGTCAGAGCATGGTGCTAAGAGCACCAAAGTCATGGGTTTGATCCCTGTATGGCCCATTCACTCAAAAGCTGGACTTGATCCCTGTGGGTCCCTTCCAACTCAGAATGTTCTGTGAAACAAAGTTTATAAGTATACATCTGGTTTAATATGAAATGTCATAGTAAAAATGTAATTGTCTCCAAACTGATAGCTGATGAACTCTGCTGTTAGTTTCCCTCCTTACCAGCCATTTTCCTTTCAGCACATTCTGTTTACCCAGTTCCTTCTCCTGACCCTTCAATTCTTTACTAGTCGTCAGCATCCCTCTCCAAATTGAGATAGCTAAGGTCTACTGTATTTCCCTATACTATTTCCCTATCTACACATTTAATTATTGTGTCAACAAATAGCTATCAGGTTACCACATCAAAATAATTTAAGTCAACATTCCATTTTTACTCCATTACACAACTAACCACAGCTGTTAATGGTTCTTTCCTTGAGAATTCATCCTGAAAAGATGCATAGGATAGAGATCAGACAAGTTGCCTTCTCTCAATTGTAGCTTATGGTGGAAACACCAGTTATTCTCCAACTGGTGCAGTGTCAGGCATAAAGTTCTTCCAGAAATAAACAAAACTATTTTTTCACTATTACTGAAATAATTTCATGTGACATCAGATTGCTGAACCTCCTGTCCAGAGTCAATGACAGATATGAAACAGTGCAATAAATATTATTCCAGGTTAAGAAAGTTTTATCCCACGGACTTTGCTAGTCTAATCTGCTAGCTCCTTTTTTGTTTTGTTTTTTTTTTTTACAGTTTGACAATTTTTAAGATTACATCTATCCTCATGGATTTCTTACTTCAGCGGGAAGCTAAAATGGTGCGAAGATGCCAAAAGAATTGCTTCCATTCCTTGTGAGACCTTACATTAAAAGGTATTTTCTTTATATTTTTGGTGGATTGAAACTGTCTGGATGCCAGGTACCCACCAAAGCCACTTTATCACTTCCCTCCTCAGCAGCACAAGGGAGAGAAAATATAACAGCAGACTTGTGGGTTGACATCAGGACGGGCAGTTACCTTCACGGGCAAAACAGACTCAGCTGGGGGAAATTAGTTTAATATCTTACCAACCAAATCAGAGCAGGGTAATGAGAAATAAACCCAAATCTCAAAAATATCTTCCCCCTACACCTCCCTTCCTCCTGGGCTCAACTCCCTGTTTTCTCTACCTCCTCCCTCCACAGCAGCAAAGGGGGATGGGAATGGGGGCTGTGGTCACTTCATTGCACTGTCTCTGCCTTCTTCCTCCCATGAACTTCTCCAGCGTGAGTCCTTCCCACGGGCTGCAGTTCTCCACGGGTTGCTCCAGCATGGGTCCCTCCCATGGGGTACAGTCCTTCAGGAACAGGCTGCTCCAAAATGGGTGCTCTGCAGGATCACAAGTCCTGCCAAAAAACCCTCTCCAGCGTGGACTCCTCTCTTCACAGGTCCTGTTAGGAGCCAGATACAGTGAAGCGTTCCCATGGTGTCACAGGCTCCTTCCCCTCCTCCAGAGTGGGGTCCTCCTTAGGCTGCAGGGGCACAGCCTGCCTCACCATGGTCTTCAGCATGGGCTGCAGGGGAATCTCTGCCCCAGCACCTGGAACATCTCCTGTCCCTCCCTCTTCACTGACCTTGGTATCTGCAGGGCTGTTGCTCTCACATATTCCTCTCTCTGACTGCAGTTGCAGCTGTGCAGATCTTTTCCCCCTTCTTAGATAAGTTATTCCAGAGGTACTGCCCTTGGCGAGCACTAGGTCTGTCCTGGACCTGTCAGACATAGGGAAAGCTTCTGGAAGCTTCTTACAGAACTCACTCCCAAAGCCTTACCACACAAACCCAACACAATATTGTAATACTTTTGTGTTCTGAGTCCTTCCTGTCCATAATATCAATCTATGACTCATAGTTCTTGTTTCAAAACAGTGTCACATGCTAGACTTCCCTTCTCTTGCCTTCATGAGCAAAATTAAAAGGAGAGGAAAGGCTTGGAAAGCATAATTCATCTGAAAACTGAAAATTAAGATTTCATTTGATTTCCCAAAAGGGCTACTTTGTCTTATACCCCATTCTGAGATTTAAACTTTGTTTTAAACTCTTTGTTTTAAACTCACCATTCTGGGTGAGTTTATTAATACGTGACAGCAAATAGAAATAAATACAAAGACCTCAGAATTCAAACTGAAAACAAGGAAACAAATAGCAAACAATACGAGCTAGAATTTATGATGTGCAAAATTCTGGTTAGGAAAGATAAAGGCCCAAAGGAAAATTCACAAGTTACATCACTAAAGACAAAAGATAGTGTGCTTTTTAGAAGAGTATTATAAAGAAAATAATTCTAAAACATGTGTACAGTTCTTATTAGGTGGGGATGGCTCTATGTTAGAACTGCATAAAAGACAATAGGATAAATCAATATATTTCTTTCTAGTCTCTGAAAAGAAGGGGAATCATGAACTCCCATCAAACAAGAATAAACCATACGCTCTTCAGGCTTTTGACAGGAACTTTCTACAGAATCAGGACGAGGGGTTACCACAGCGACACGGTATGAAGCACTGCCCCAGCTACTGAACACCAGCGTCCTAGATACGCATACAGCCAAGAGGTGCTTCTGCCACCACCGCTAACGCCAACAGTGGCACGCAGTTAAAAAGAGTCCGAGAATGCATGTATGGGAAGAAAGTCAGAAGGTTCATGGCAAATGGTCTTAAAAATACATCTGAAAACAGCACTTGAATTTGTTGAGCTGCACAGATCCATAAACCAAGAAAACATGCATTTTAAAAACTGAAGAAGAGCATGTATTCCCTGTCCTACCCGGACACCTTTTCTGATCGCCTGTGAGCTCTGCTCTCCACCAGTGGGACAGAACAGCCCATCTCCACCACTGGGGGAGGCTGAGGGCTCCTTCCCCTGCCAGCCCACCGGTCTCACGTGTGAATGAGAAACAGGAAGAAGTTGGGTGGACAGCATTCAGCTGCTCAGAACAATTGTGCTCTTTTGATTCTCCTTCTCCCTTTAACACTCACGAGTTCTCACATTGTCTCCATGTGTTTGAGACAGGATGAAGACAAACCCGAAGCAGCAACCTTCCACCACTCCAGCCGCAGGAAAGGGGGCTTACAAGCTTGAGGAGTTTCAGGAGGAGGAAAGGGCAGATGTGGGCCATAATCATTCACTTCTGTCAGATGCTTTTAATCACTGCTGACATTAAGTCGCAATTAATCTCTGAACACTGGGGAAAGCCAAAGGACTGAAAGACAGCTGCTATATAATAA